TGTCTGCTTGCTATCCGAAAAAAAAAATACAGTTAAAATAACACTACAACGAGAGTTTACGGAACAATATATAACAGCCAAACTTTGTACCCCATCATTTTGAACTCTATGCTCAAAATTGGTTACATTACTCTTCGATATTTTTTCGCAACTTTTTTTTGGTTTGTTCCCACGTCAGCCAAACTTATCGTCAAATTCTGTTCGGTGACCATTCTTTCGACTCAGAAACATTTTTATGTGAAAATAATCACTGTCCTCACATCGGTAAGCAACACCAAAAGACACTAACATTTATTTTCTGAATGGTTGTATAATGCTACAATAATCTAACGGGACAAAATTGATGACATGTCAAAAATGTTCGAAAAGAGAGAGAGAGAGAGAGAGAGAGAGAGAGAGCTTTAAGTGCTTCTTTAAACATTGACCAATCATTGTTGTCACAATACATTCAATGTTTCATCATTTGGACAAAATGTTAAATTTTCCATCGAGTCACAAAATTCAATTTTGTTAACACTTTAATTTGAATTTTAAAAATAAATGGCAAGAGAATTGAATGCAACAGTAGAAAAAAATATGCACAATCAATTTGGCTAGCAATTTGGTGTGAGCATTGTCAAATGTTATTAGTTATTAGTAGCCTTTAAAATCCATAAGACAAAAGCGTATAATGCATTTAATTTTCATACCGGTCATGTTTGCAATGAAAGGGCTCATATCATATAAAAAGCATGAATAGCCTTGGATGCGAATAGTAAGATAGGGTAAAAGCGAACAAGAGAAAGTTTAAATGGTTGGTCATATTTTGTGTTAAAATATTCATGTGAAGTGAAAATGGTGTTCGATTATTTGCTCCACTTAGTGGTTGTTCCCATCAAAAACTCAAAAGAGTTTCAACTCGATGTGGAATCAAGTGCATTATATTTTGTGGCATAAACATTAATATGGATAACCCGATGCAATTTGCGGCAATGTAAAACCATTTTACCATCTACACTTCGATTATCCATATTCTCACACTTACCAACCCACACACCGAAAGAAAGAGAGATGGAGAGAGTTCCATACACACAATAAGAGAAAAGTAACAATGAAACAAAATGTGAGGCGCACCATTGTTTTAAATTGATTGACCCGTATGCAAAATTACTGTGGTGTTTCAATATCCTTAAACAAACAATGAGTCTGTACGAATAGAGAGAGAGAATTCTCTGATGAACAAATCAAGTTGCAATTGTGTATTCGCAACGGATAAAAATGTAATAAAGAAATCCATACAAGACCAAACAAAATCAATTGCAACCAAAACCATGTGTGTTGCTCCATCCATTTATTTTGCAAATTAATTTTATTGTATTATTTCCTCGGATAGACGGAGAGGTACAGAAAGAGAAATAGAGTGAACGAATGCGACTGAATTCGAGCTCACTTTCTGATTGTCAAACATTATATTCAATTTCTCATGGTAGTGAGTGTGTGTGTATTTTTCTGTTCATTCGATTATAAACATTGAATGCAATGTGCAACTATGTAGTCTCCGAAGCATTGACAAAGCACTCAAATAAACAAAAAACATCAACAAACTTCTGTATGAAAAATCCTATTTTTTTATCATCATACTAACATTCACTGGTCATATTTTTTTTTCTATGTTAAATAAGCGCTTGTTTATGAATATGTATTTGGTGAGTGGTGTTTTTTTCGATTTAAAATTGTTATGGAAATCTATTCAGTGAGCTTTTGTTTCAACTCTTTGTTCTTTATCGACAAACAAATTTCATATTTGCACTGTCACGAGTGAAGAGATAATTTTCAGTAAAATGCAGTGACCATTCGGGGTCCTTCGACACCCCGGGACAAAATTTCCCAATTTTCTCCAATTTTTACTATTGGATTGTAGAAAAAAATTATAAATTCGAAATTTCTAGCTTCTTTTGCAAAAAAAAAATCGAAATTATATCGACAAATAATTTATAAAGGCACCTTTGCGCTTCGGACTCGATGCTCATCTGAGAAAACGATCAAGTACCTTCAGCGCTTTCGCGCCGAAAAATACTGTTGCGCCCCAGTGTACGGTGCGGCGCTCCTGTTGCCCTTTTCCTCGGGTGGTCTCTGGTAAAATATGCAATTGCTACAATGTGCATAAATTTAACAATTTATAAAAAGAAGTCTATATTTATATCACTGTCACAACGCAAACAAATACACAGCTGCAAACCAGTACATTGCGATTTGTTCGCAAAATAGAATATTCTGTAGTACAAATATTCTGTAGATAATTTTTGAGTGGCGCATTAGCTTAAAAGCTTTTTATCATTAAAAAAAATTTTTTTAAACTAAATACCATCTCTTTTATTCGTGAAATTAGTTTGAAGGTTTATTTATGTACTTAGTATATACATAATACATATATAATGATTTAAAGGTGTTTTTCGTTCACCCAAGCAAAACAGAAACAATGTAGCGGATCAATTGAAACGAAATAACACAACCAAATGAAATACAATTTTGATCATATTTCTTCAATATTTATAGTTGAAAAAGAAAATAAAATCAATTGTTCCACTCTGAGTGCATGTCAATGGATAATTAATTTCCCTGTATACCAATTTGACTACCATAATTTACATGTCAACATTTTTCCTGTAACTGCATTTTCTTTACAATGTTAACTAGATCGAAATTCTACATTTTCGTATACATTTTGTTCAATTTCCGAAAATAACGACTACAAAAGATCGAAAGTGCTTGTTCAATTTGCCATCGTCTCTTTGAAAAAAAAAAAAAAAAAAAAAAAACAATTTTCAAAATAAATACGAGACTATATAACATGAATAAACAAATGCAAGAGCAGTGCATTCAACTAATCTGTAGCATACGATTAAACATTAAACGTTGGTAAAACTAAAGGATCACAAAGTCCATATGGATCTTGGCACAAAACAAATGTTCAAATGCATGATAGTGAAGAGAAAATGGCGAAGAGAGAGAGAAGTGAGTGGAGAAATGTGGTGCATCGAGAAAAAAGAATCCGAATTTGTAAAAAGCTCAAATGTTTCGAGTAGCATCGAGTGTGGACGAAATGTTTTCAATGTTGGTTGGCTTCATGTTTTCACGTTATGTGTGGGAGATTATGCGCGTGAATGTTTTTGCGTGCGATTTTTGGTTCGTTGGCTCGTTTTTTTTTGTTCTTCTTGTTCTTTTTTACGTGTTATTTGTTTTGTTACGTGTTTTTATTTTCTTTTTACTTGAAATTTTGTTTTCATCGTCGACTTGGGCTTATGTGGTTTGTACTGTTGTTTATTATGCACTTTTTTTTTACTTCAATCGAAAAACCATTATTTGATTTTTTTTCCACTTGAATGCAACGAATGAATTGTATGCTATTTTGTTTGAGGGGGCCGTTTTAAATGTAACATTCTCAATATTTCTGTGTGCAATGAATCGGTTTAGTCGATTATAGGGCGAGCAGTTATGGTGGTGTGCATGAATTTTTATGCATTTCAGTACTTGAGCTTTTATTGCATTCAATACGACTTTTACCAGCCTTAATTTGATCTCTATCCCTCTTGCTCTTCTTTCTCCATCTTTCCTTCTTTCACACACAAACACACACACACTTCTAAAAAATTTCTTGTGCACTTTTGTTTTTCTTTCTTCAACACCCTTCTGATATATAATGTGATTTTGCCATATATTTATTTCAATGCATTTCTTATTGTTGCACGATTGTGGGGGCAGTAATGAGTGTGTTGTCGTTTCAACGAAGACATTTGACTTTGCTTAAGTTTTTAGCAATTCAACAATATGGACAATTATTTTCGCTTTTCAGCGACTACGGCAAATAGACGATTTCATTTGATTTTATAATTTTTTTTTTTTCAAATCCAAATTCAGCTGAAAGTGGAAAACGAAATGAGAAGGCGGTTGAAACAAACATACACAAAAGAAAAGTGGGCTTTTATTTTTAACAGCCCAATAAAATAAAGCAGTAATCATTTCTTGCAATCGGGCATGCAATTTATTTCGATTGTTAAGATGAATGGACCAACGGGGCATTTAGACATTTTATTGGCTTTTTCGAATAGAATGTTATGGGCGACGATGATAAATTCCACAGTAATTACAAACTTCGTCAGTTTTAAAACCAATGTGGATTTGATGCGGATATAAGAGACGTACAACGTGATGTGGGCAATGTAAAATGAACAATTTCCGTTCGCTTCTTTTTACATCATATGCATGCAATGGAAATTATGTGGAAATATCTGCTCACCATTTTTTTTCTCTCTCGCTCACGCTTACGCTTACATTCGCCTTCGTTGAATATAAAACAAAGTTAGCGTTTACCTTGTGCACGTTTAATGTTTTTTTTGCATTACATAGAGAAAGATAGTTTTGGCAAACAAACTCTGCACCGTCGGAAATCTTTGTTGATGGTGTTGGAATTTAACTCTCGTATATTTTAAATTCGGCTGGGACACAAAATAAATCATTTCATTGTAGTTTGTTCGCCATAATAAAAAGATGGCTGAAAATTTATCTGTGATTATTATTCCAATTCATTTCATTTAACTTGATTTATAGCATAGTATGCATTTTTAAGTTCAATAAAATATTACAATGAAAAATTGAAAAATTTGATTATCTACAATAATCATGGTGAAGGGCGTTAGAATTTTCTGGGATATTTCTTGCAATCAAAATATTTAATTTATCTTTGAATTCAATGTTTATGTGATTTCTCTTTAAATTTAATTTATTATCGTTGAAATGAAAAATGGTACTTCGTTTTTATTTTTTTCATCGTTTATGTTTCTTTGTTGGCGTTTTTTTTTTGGATCCATATCTGAGTCACTATTTATAAGAATGCTCATAATTCAACTGAAGCAAGTAAAATAAAAATACAACCAGTCGCCACCTCCCCTTTATATTTAATAATGATGATGTTTTTTTCACTAGCTCTTGTCTATTTTATTTTCTTCCTTATCTGCATATAGTTATGATGGATGAGCCTCGCTTTGCACAACCGATTCCAAATGTTACAGTTGCTGTTGGACGGGACGCCAATTTGCCCTGTGTTGTTGAACATCTGGGTGCATATAAGGTAAATATTTCAATGTGTGCACATCGCACTCCATTCAATTTTCCCACTCTCAAAAATATACCATATAACTTTTAATGAACAAAAATGAGAGCAAAAAATATATATATGCTCAAACTAAGTGCGGGGTTTGGACCGATTTTTGTGTCGGATCATTTCATTGAAAAGCGAAACGCCTGCATTTTTGGATATTATGATGCTTTCCATTCCAAGAATTATTTGCGTTCACTTCTTTTTCGGTGCAGTTAAACAACGAATCGAGTTTTGAAGACAAAATCAAGTATGCACCCAATACGATACGCCATAAGAGAGGCGAGAGAGAGAGAGAAAACACTTTGAAAGTAATGCAGCTAGAGCGAATCTTAATGACAAAATAAATATCTTTTAAATTGCATAACAAAAATCACAGTTGAATTAATCTACATAAAAGCATTATGCATGGTACACACACACTCACTCTCTCTCTCTCATTCTTGGTGTGTGTCCTGTGTATATTCGCAAATATACTTCCGGTTATTCATTAATTTGGCTTTTTATGACCTATTCCAGAACAGATTTTAACAATAAAAACTATTTATAGACAAAAAAAAAGGCGCCAGCAGGAAATATAATTGAAAATGACATAAAACATGGAGAAATGGAAGTGAATGCATTTTGTTGCAATATCCTTTTCTATCTATATACATGTTACTCGTACAGTAGAATCCAATTTCATTACAACTTCCGTCCATTTTAAAATGTAAAAACTTTATTTTGACGCTTTCGACATCAGATACTGATTATTCCAATGTGTCCCAAATACTATAAAAATATGCGAACATATTGTTTCTGTGCCTCATATATCCTCGGATGATGCGCTTGATATTTTTGCTCAGTGGAATTGCGCAATTGTAAAAAGAATCATCAACGGCGCATCAAACAAAACATGTTCGTATGTTTTTCGTAGATTCTGGGCACATTGAATTGTTCATAACAATGTTTGGCATGTAAAAACAATTGCAAATTTTTTTTACAACATATTTTAAATTTCGGTTCACCTTCTCGCGATAGAACGTGATCTCGTCTCACATATATGCTCATTACGAATTATATTATGCGCTCTTCACAAATTATGCAACAAAATAACTTGGCTGTTTATTAATTTCATAAATAATACGGTGAGCGTGATTTGTTCATTAATTTACAGACGACATTTGAATATCATTGTGAACGACGATGTTTTTATGTCACATCGTAATTTGAATTGAGATGAGAGATGATTTCAGAAAAGTTTGTATTCAAACATATTCCACGGTGTTGGAGGCTGTGTGTGTAACGACAAAACTTTTTTTTGGCAACTTAACGCTGTCGTACATACGTCCAATACAAAACGAACTGAAATATGCAACGGTGAACCGTAAGTCATTTAAGCAATAAAAAATTCTCATATACAGTGGTATATATAAATTTACTTATTCAAATTAATTGAATTGGAATGTAATTAACGGCAAGTGGATGAAAAGGATAGCTAAAAAGAAAACAAAAGAAATGACAATTATTAAAGGTATCTTTTGCCGGTTAGCGGAATGACACGAGCACGCACAGATGCGATAAAGTTTAAAATAATAAGTGTGCTTAAGAGCGACGTTGCGATAGCCATCTCATCACTTGACGGAGACATAAATAGAATATATATCCAACATCTGCATTTGTCCAATATACGATGAACAATATAAATAATGAAGATCAAATTGCAAAATGAAACTGTCATTCGCAGTGGCGCGCGCGGTTCGCAAAATGAACGCTTTTCGATTAGATACTCTCTCGACATTTGTGTCATTGTTCACCATTATGTTACCCAGGAACAGATTCAAACTTAATTCAAATAAAATTATACGTACTCAGTGAAAGTCATTGCCGATGCCTTGTTTTCATTAAATATATTTTATTCATTTGCTTGCCTTTCGTTTGGCAAAACACGTGCTTCTCGTCACTTTTGTGCGACCGTACGTTGTTGTGCGTGACTGCTTCGTATGCGCACTTTTCGTTGCTTTTGTTTTTCTCTCTCTCTCTCTCTATCGCTTCCACTCTCCTCTTTTCTATATTTTAATATCTCGACTCATCTTTCGACTTGCTCGAATATTGACTAACACACAAGTACTGACACAATCAAGCACTTTGTCCCATTGTCAAGCCTTTTTCACATTCATTTCGACGAATAATTAATGTATACTCCTTGTTTGAATGTGTTTTTAAATTTCATTCTCGTTTCGCAGCCAAGTAACAGCCCAACTAAACGATTGCCATAACGTTCATTGTCTCTGTGAACAATTTTTTTTTATTTCATTTATTGTTATTTCCATACAGAATTCATTTTTCGTTTTGTTTCATTATATTATTATTATTATCATTCATCATTTTCTTTTATCTTTGTGTCACTTTGGATTGTGTGAAGAGAATGGGAGAGACAGATAGATCTTGTGTATGTATAAGTTCAAGATTTGCATCCATTTCATTTTGACATAAACAATGTGAATGAATGTTAATAGGCCAAAACGAGTAGCTGTCAAAGCACACGGGACGAGCATCCTCTTGTGCACCAATAATAAGACAAACAAACGTTCACTCATATATGAAATGTATGAAATGTTTACTTATTTGCGAGAACAAAGCGCACATCAAAACAATGCGATATACCATTTTTAATTACATCAATTTCCAAATCAAGTTGCTTTAAAATTGAGCGCTTTTTATGCACTTGAATAGACCGCATACTTTCGCAATCAAATGCAATAAAATTTACATAAATATATTACAGCAAATAAATTTTAAATTATTCAATGATCACGATGAGCATTAAGTATCTCTTTCATTGTGTTTTCTAAAATTCCGCATTTGAAACCGCAACGAAAAAAAAAACAGCTTTGATATTCCTTCCACATTATTCATATAGATAAAATCACGAAAATGGATTATATTCCATATAACAAATTTATGGCCATTCCATTTGAATGAGAACTAACCAATTGAAGGAAAAAATGAACGGGAAAAGGTCATTTCACTGACACCACCCCAATGATTTTTTCCATTCGTTGATTTTATGATACTGTTAACCCCTTTGTATGACAATATTTACACATAACCCGTTCTGTTCAAAAGAAAAATATGCTGAACATAAACGATGATTAACACCTTTTTGTTATATGAACCAATTTTGGACCCGTATTTTTTATTTTGCTAAATGATTTTATAAGTGTTGCCATTTTATCATGCCAGGCCATTTTCTAAACAACATCTACCATTACGCTGATATTTCGTTTTCCCATCCATTGACTGCTTTTCAAATAAAATGAAAACATTTGACTTATTCTATGTTCAAAGCGTTTTTTTTTTCATTAAAAAAATTCAATCAAATCAATTGAACGTTTTCGAAATGAAGTCATCAATAGATGGATTGTATAAGCAAACGTAATTTCATCAAATCAATGCACCGTAAAGCAAACAAATACCATAAAACATGCAAAAGTAAATAAGAAATCCATTTGTAGTGGATCGTTTGTTCGAATTCGCTACACCGTCCATGTGTGTGCACATCACATACAAATTCAAATTAGTTATTTAACACAATCACTGCAAAGGAATAGAAGTCATGAAATTGGAATATACGTGGGGTAAAAAAGTGAGAGCGACTATGATGCAAAACAACCACAAATGCCGAAAAACCAACAAATATTCTCGTTCTCTTCTATTATTATCAGATATATTAAACGGAAGCGGTTTTTGGTTTGAAAAGCTAAAAATCGCGAAAAGGCTACAAGTAGAGGCGGAAAATCGAATAATAAATCAGGATGGTACTTTTGTGTTTGTATTCTCTCTTCAAATGGGGTGTTAAGAATGTGATTAAAGCAATTTTTTCCCTTTGCAATTCTCTTTCTCTCTTCCACTTTCACTCTATGTTTTTGCGGCTCTTTACATCTTTCTCCACCTTTTCCACCCCAAAAATATAACGATGAAGAGCGCTTGTTTGAACACATACACATCCAAACAAATACCGTCAACGATTCACGGTGCTACTTGTGTGTCGATTGCTCACTTTTTGCTCTTCAATTTTCAACAGGTACGCGAGACCATATCAAATCGATTGTAAGGCCACCTTTTCAACTGTTAAATTACATTTCACGATTCCTTCGATCGCATTTTTCTTTCGAACCGTTTTGGTGTGTTTTTTTTCGTTATTTTTTTTTCGCCATAATTCAAATGCCATTGCATAAACAAAGTCACAAGTTTTGGGTGCTGCTACAATAACGGCAACTCTATTCAAGCATGAAGACTATGTCGTTTGCTTGAATGAAATCGACAAAAGGTGCAACTGTAAAGAATGTGTGCTATTCAGCATTACTAATGAAATCCTAACAATATATCGAGTGGCCGTGGTATCTCGGTGGTGATGGTGGTGGTAGTGGTTTTATATGCAAGAGTTTTGGTATTTGAATCATCGACTATTTCATTATGATTTGGCATGTTTGGCATCCACATGCCGTAATCGAAATGAGATACACTGAAACGAAAGAAATCACTCCATTCGGAAACTTCGCTAAATGGAAGAAATGAATTAATCACATTCTCACATATTATGTACAAATGGAGTTTATTTGTTGCATTCAAAGCATGCCAATTGGCGTGGGCATATGCCATATGATGAAAACGGAAAAATGAGGGGCGAAGAATGCTATCGCGAATTATATGATTTTAGTATTGTATGCCGTTAATCTGATCATCAACCACATTAAAACGAAGCGAAGCACTAGCATGAGAGCTAATGTGTTCGCACCCATTGAGAATGTTTTAGCGTCGAAACTGTAACACGCAGGAAAGCCGTCTAATGCAAAATGTGAATGCCATTGCAGACCAAAGCGAACAGATATCGCAGCTAGCCCATTGTCATCATCAACAACAACAACAACACTACCACAACCACCGCCATAACCACCATAATCATCATCACACCATCGCGATCATTACCA